CTGGTAGCCACAGGGCTAGAGCCTCTGTCCATAAAGCACATTTCTTTAGAAGGAGCTGAAGCAGAGAAAATCTTTAGTTTGAAGACTGGGAATGAACCCAGGCCTTTGCTGTACTGGTACCAGGCCACAAGCTCAGTCTTTGCCACGTTTCTTCTTTCTTTGCCACATCTCTATTGCAGGAATAGAGATGCAAGGAATTAAAGGATCTTATCACCCAAACTGGCTGCAGCTTAAAGGGGAGAAGAGAATGCCTAGAGATAATACAGGGAAGAGTACCCTGAATGCTAGGTGGTGGGGTCAAACAGCAACAGATGGGAGTAAAACCCAGCATGCTTTAAGGAAACACTGCCTTGGACAGTAAATGAATTTCTTCTGCTGCACCTGGCTCCCAACCTGCTCTGAGTAGGAGAGGTGCCGCATAGCAAAGCGCCCCGTAGCCTCCAGGAAAACACAAGCACAATAGGAAGCCATGGGAGCAGTGTGGACAGACTAGGACAACTCCTAGCACTGCTACACACAGGCTGGCTCTTCCAGCTTGGGAAACAGCTCACAGAAGGGAAAAATATTGCTAGAAGAATGCTGGTTTCCAAGTGGCTTAGTAAAAGCTGTGCACACCATCTTCCATAAAACATGGAGGGCTTTAGGGCTGAGGCTGCACCGTTTACCAAGGCCCTAGAAGGTACATTGATCATTTATAACTGACTGTACCGGGCATCCACAGTGCAGCTATGAATTTACTGCAAGGGCCTCAGCACTTCTAAGCAACACAGGACTCAAACAGTGACATGCCTTTCCTGGCTCAGCTGACAGGTTGGCATTGCTGCTTGTATTTATGGGCATTTTTTCTACTTGGCAGGAGCCACACAAAGAGCAACACACAGGCTGTGAACAAGCTCAAGGGACAGATTTTCCTAGCTGCAAAGTCCTGAGCATTACATGACCTCTCAGGTATTTTTTTTTTTTTTTTGCTTTAAACAGACATTAGGTCTCCAACTCTAAGCTGCAACAGCAGTCAAAAGTTGCAAACCTAGGACTACACCTCTGTTCCTCCAGCTGCCCATGAGAGGGGACTTGCTCTCTGCCCAGATGCAAGGGTAGACTCTTCCTCTGCAGTACTGCCATTGCCTGAATCAGTATACAGCCCCTGCCAGAAAGGGTTGGGGGGGATTTTTGTTTTCTGTTTTGTTTTTTAGTTTGGGATTTTTGTGTTTGTTTAAGAAATGACCCTTCAACATGTATCTACTACCTCTGCTGGCAAAGGAACTTAAAGGGTTAAACAGGACCAGCCAAAATTTTTCTCAAAGCTATGACACTTTTCTGCACTGAAGCATAGGAGAAAAAAAAAAAAGGTAGATACTAAGCTTGAAGGAGCTGAAAGCTGTTTCCTCTGATTACCCTGCTTGTACCTGGATTTGGACTGCATTCCTATAGCCGTTGTTGAACATCACTAGACTCAATCTAGCAGAGCCTATGATGAATGAAGACCAAGAGATTCCTGTCCAAGTTAGATGCACAAGGGCTAGTGCATACAAGTGACTAGTAGCCCACAGCTCCTAAGAAATTGCACAGATCCAAAGCTGGTTTTTAATAAGTTAGCCAGACTCTTCTTCAGTGAAATGCTGAATAACAGATCACCTCTGTCTACATGAATGTCAGTTCTGACCATTACTAGTTTTAAGAGCATTCAGACAAATGGTGGACAGCAAGGGGGAAGACAGAGATAAAACTTCAGCCTGTTTGAGAAAGCCAAGTGAGAGAAGCAGAAGTGATGTTTCAGCCAAAACATAGTGGGTGGCCTGTGGAGGTTATACACACCTCATTACTGTAGATTTGGGTCATCAAGCAGATGCTTGAGCCAGTGCTTAGGAGGATCAGATCTTCACAACAGCAGAGAGCCTTGGCTTTACAACTGCCAGAGTTCTCCAAGACTTTAAAATGCATCTCAGCACAGTAATTAAAAAGGTACATAAAACAGAAGTTAACAGAAGTTAACTATACAACTAGGTAGTTTACAACTGAGCCAAAGAAGAGCTAGAAAGACTCGTGAGACTTTCTTCTCCACAGCTCTTCAACAAGATGGTTGGATTTTCCAGCAGGCCATTTCCATGGTAGCAAGAGAAATCAGTTCAACTCTCCTCTCTTGCCATCAGAACTACCACCACCAGCGGTACCATGTGTGTTTGCAAGGATGGATGACGGGTGAATGCGAGTGAGGGAAGGGAAATGCCCTTGAAATCAATGTAATGCAAAAGCTATGCTTGAGCTTCACATGGTAACAGGCACCCTTCTATTTGTATATAAATTCAGCATGGAGACAGTAAGGCACGTTTGTTGCAAAATTTGTACTGCTGTATGAAGTTGTGTTCCATGTTTTGCTGTGTTCAAAATGGCATGCTTACAAGAATAATAAAATCTCTGTGTTCCAACCTGCATCTGTCCTGGAGATCAGGATCTTCCAGATCCAAACTCACAGCTGCAGGAGGCTAAGCACTGTAGGGAAGTGCTTCAGTTTACTGGCTAGAAATGCTCTGAAGTTTACAAACTCTCAAGGGAACTGAAACAGATCAAGATGTGTGGAGGAATATAAACAGCTCTCCATTGTGATATTTGAACACCAAGGTATCAAAACAAGGGTCAGAGAGGTTACAACAGATCAGAGCAATAAGGTAAATCTTAACTAAGTGTCAGAACTGCACAAGAAAGCTGGATCAAAGTTAAACAGGCTGAGCTCTGGGGCTCAGTCCAGAGCCTTGAGCAGCAAATATTCTAAATAGAAGGAAGAATAAGGGAACTCAAAAAATCCAGAAGAGTGGTACGGAGGAAGATTGAGAAATACAATAATAGTGATGAAGAATAACAGTACAAACCTTTATTAGAAATAAAGCCCTATAAAATAGGAAAGCAAAGGCCTTCTTTCCACTCACTTCCTCCCTGCACACTTCAGTTGCTTCAGGTTAGTTTCATGGCATGAGCCCTCATAGGAGAATAAGGAGTTACAACAAAATCCATACTGGAAAACGAGGAGTTACAGGCCAGGTAACATGAATGCACAGAGGCAACGCAGAAAGAATTTTCTCAGCCATTTATAAAACATGGCAGACATCCCAGAGTGTCTGTAAATCGGTGGTGCAGGGGAAGATCAGGAGATGTCACAGAATTCTCTTCCACACCTGGAAGAAAGAACTCAGGATGTGAATCACCTCACACCTCCCTCAGCCGGAAGTAGCACTCAGAGGGCTACTGTCAAGGTAAAGCCCCACCAAGTGCCCCGAACTCTCTGCTCAGCACTCTGTCCCTGAGCACAGGGCATGGAACAGAGCTTCCATCTACTGAGAGACATGTCCAAAGGGGAGGATACCGAGGGATGAGACCAGTTAAGTCTTGGTCTACTGTTCGACTGATGCAGATAGTTCTGTACGTAAAGCACTAAAGTTTTAGGATAATGTGAACTCTTACAGCTCTTCTCTTGCAAGCACTCACTTCAGCTCAATCCTGGAAAGCCACAGCCAAAAGTCCTCAGCTAGCCAGACCCACACAGCCAGAGGGCTTAGCACTCAACCTTACCTGACAGCTCTGAATTACTGCACCAATCTGTAGGTGATGTAGCGGCCTGCAGTCTCACTAGGTCTTATGATCTTGACTACCTAGGAGTCCAGGAGAAGCAACTCATGAGTACGAGAAGCTGGTGGCAAGTTTCCCCAGCAGGGCTTCCCTGCCAGACACGCATACACACTCAAACCCAGACAGAACAGTTGCAACACTGCAACCCTCAGGAGCCACAGAGACACTGGGCACCAAGCTTCAGGCCTGTGGCTGGAACGTAGCATAGAAGTGCCACCTTCAAGTGCAGGGCAGTCAAAGGTTGGGAATGGAGTCACATCTGCTGGTCCTCAGAGGATTCAATGGCCACAGCTGTCTCCCCTTGCTGGAAGCCTGCCCAGCTTACACAAGTCTCTGTACCACGACAGCTTTCCCATGGGAAAGAAAGGCCCTTCCCTTCTCTTGGGGTTCAGAAATATCATCAATACCCCCTACTATCACAGCTCTGCCTATAGAGAACTGCTGCCTGTCACCAGCTTGTGTCACTCTTACCTGACCTCGCTTTATTCCAAAGTACCTGGCCACTGGATCCCCAGCCTGTATGCGTGGGAGCTGGTTCTCTCTCAGCTTACTGCACAGGACAGTCAAGGAAGAGCTCTATCAGCAGCATAAGCAACTGGCTCAGGTACCCATTTGTTTTAAGAACGGGCACGGTTATTAGAACCGACTAGTACATTGTCACACTCAGAGGTGTATTCATTTTCAACTTAAAGCAAGTATGAATCACACCCAGGGAGGGAAGGAACAAACAAAGGATACTATCGGGCTAGTAGCTCAGTTACTTCTTCCTTTGTCATGACCACGTGCTCTGGAACCAACTGTAAACAAAGGAGAGACGTTCCAAGATTAGAAAACCAGAGAAACCAAAAGTCTCCTCACAGCAGCAGGACAAGGAACATGTGGGTAAGCAAAACTAGAACAACTACTGCTGTGTCACCCAGCCTGACCTTCCAAACAGAAGATCGCTAAAAGCTAGGTGATGGTCTGCAGCTCAGCAGAGAGACTGGTTGCCTCGCCTTTGCTCCACTGCCAGCACAACTTACCTCATGTTCTGTGATGTTGATCAAGAGCTCTTGCTGCAGAAACTGCTCCAGGATATATTTGGGAGCCATATCTACCAGGGACTGAAAAGGAAAAGGCATGACAGACTGCAGCACAGGGCACTGCTCGAGGTCAGTCCTACCTGCGCTCAATAAACATCACATTGCAAGGGATATCATTACATTTGTGCTCACACAGTTAGAGCTACACAGCAAACTGCTAACGGACCTTGTCACCGCTGGCAAGTATCTCCTCTCCTCTCATAAACCTCAGTAGGCCCTCTCTTCTTCTTTAACCAGAGTTAGAAAGCTCTCTTTAATCAGAGCCAGTTGTTCTGGTTAAACACATTTGCATGTTAAGCAAGACATGTCCCCTGCGTTAAGGGACAACAGGTTTTAGTGAAACATTTTCTCAGAAATAAAATTCAACATTCTTATTAATCTAAAGCAGCACTGCAAAACAAACATGCAAAACATCCATAGTCTACAATTGCCCTCTGGACCGTGAGACAGGTTGTTTTTTTTTTTTTTTTTAAAAAGGGTTCTCTGTACCTGCTTTGCTGAGGGAGTCATGCCTTGCTGTACCACAATCAACGCTCTGGTGATGTTCTCCTCCTGCATCCTCTGACAGTACATCTTGATTGTCTTTATTCCAACCTTGGGCTCCTCTAGGAGTGAGGGAGGTACCATGATCACGATACATGCATTCAGTAATCCACATTCTAATAGCCTTTGTTTTGCAGCCAGTGATACACTTATGCACAAATATTCATTCATTCTACTCTGTGATGTATTTTCTTTTTGCACAACATTCTGCATCCAGCCTACCAGCTGCAGAAGTCACCCCTGCAGTCATACACAGCAAAACTTATGGAATGTTTTGCCTTGTTAAACCCAGTGGAATAAGGCATGTTGTGTAAATAAAGAAAACCCAGCTGGAGCTTACCACACCAAGATATTTATTTTGCAGGACAGAATAAGCTTTCTGAAAGGCTTCATGCCAGTAGAACAGGAAGAACTGGCTTTCATTAGAAGTGAGTTTTTGAGCGCTGGGGAAGCACAGTCACATCAGGCTTTCAGAAAGCCAAGCCATCCCTTCCACACAGCTTCTATCAGTGTGAGGCAAAAAGGTAACACGCAACAGCAGCAGATATTCCTTGGTGCCTGAGTTAACAGTTTTGAGAAGTCCAAGCTCACTGCACATATGGTAACTGTGTCACACTTACCTGGGAAGAAAACAAACATCTGATCAGTAGGATCATCATTATGAGCCACCAGCACTGTCAGGTCAGTGCGCCTCGGCCTCCCTTCACTAGGCTTGTCCCCAAACTGGGCCTTGAACTCCTCCAGGGTCTGATCCAACTCATCCTGAGTCACCAGATAGCCCCGATCATGACAAAGCTGCAGAGAACATCCTCACTTAAGACACACAACAGGTAACCCGTGTTCACAGCTCCGCTCACTTCCCACACGCAGCGTTTCACCCTTCGCGCTCCAAACACAAGTCCTGCTGCTGCCGGAGCCCGCACCAGAGCGCCAGGCACTGTTGAACCATCAAGCCCCACCACGAAAACTCCGTACAGCTCTTAGCACAGCGCAATCCTGCCCGCGCCCCGGAGAAGGGGGACAAGCGCTCCGAGGCGGGCCCGAGAGAGTCCCAAACGCCAGGACCCCGCCGCGATGGCTCCCCAAG